CTTTTCTTCAAAGAGTTGCTTGGCTAGACATATGAGAACTCACACGGGCGAGAAGCCTTTTACATGTACGATCTGTGGAAAAAGTTACTGTGACAAAGGTGGTTTAATTTATCACATGAGAGGTCACACAGGGGAAAACCCATTCACATGTGTCATTTGTGGAAAAAGTTTCCGTCTGAGCAACATTTTAAGTATTCACATGAGAACTCACTCAGGTGAGAAGCCTTATTCATGTACAACCTGTGGAAAAACGTTTTCTAAAAATAGTAGTTTAAATCGTCACAGTAGGAGTCATGCAGGTGAGAAACCTTTTTCATGCATTGTTTGTAGAAGAAGTTTCAGTCAAAAATCTATTTTAACCATTCACATGAGAACTCACACTGGTGAGAAGCCTTTCTCATGTACAACCTGTGGAAAAAGTTTCACTCAGAAAGGTCATTTATCTGATCACATCAAAACTCACACAGATGAGAAGCCTTTCACATGTTCTACTTGCGGAAAAGGTTTCAGTCAAAAAATCCATTTAAAGAGTCACACAAGGACTCACACAGCTGAGAAACCTTTCTCATGTACCACCTGTGGAAAGAGTTATAGTGAGAAGAGTGGTTTAACTTATCACATGAAAACTCACTTGGGTGAGAGACGCTTTTCCTGTGTGACCTGTGAAAAAAGTTTCAGAAAAAAATCTCACTTAACACGTCACATGAGAATTCACACTGCCGAAAAGCCTTTCTCATGTATGACCTGTGGAAAAAGTTTCACTCAAAAATGTCATTTAACTTTTCACATGAGGACTCATACAGGAGAAAAGCCTTTCTCTTGTATGACCTGTGGAAAAAGTTTCACTCAAAAATGTCATTTAACTTTTCACATGAGGACTCATACAGGAGAAAAGCCTTTCTCTTGTATGACCTGCGGTAAAAGTTATAGTGAAAAAAGTAGTCTAAATTATCACATGTCAAGTCACACAGGAGAAAAGCCATTCTCATGTGTTACCTGTGGAAAAGCTTATGTTCAGAAATCTCATTTTATATGTCACATGAGGAGTCACACCGGGGAGAAGCCTTTTGCATGTACGACTTGTGAAAAAAGGTTTGCCAGTAGAAGCAGTTTAAGTGTTCATATTAGAAGTCACACAGGTGTGAAGCCTTTCTCATGTGTGACCTGTGGGAAAAGTTTCACCTTAAAAAGTATTTTAACTCATCACATAAGAATTCACACAGGCGAGAAGCCTTTCTCCTGAATGTTCTGTGAAAAAACATTTAGACAAAAATCTCTTTTGATACCGCACCTGAAAACTCATAAAGATGAGTCAGCATAATCTGAACCTCAAGAATGAAGGTGCATTTACATTGCATCTTAATTACAGTTCCTTTTTCTACAGAGGTTTGACTGCTAAGTTTATTTTGTTAAAATTTTGCATGGTTTATTATTGCTGAACATATATAAAGTAATTTTTGTCAGCCAACACTTTCAATCCTTAAGGCCACAGGAAAGCCCATAAAATATGATTTGCAATTTCTACTTGCTTTTTATTTTCTACAAATTAAATAGAACTAGGGTGCAGCAGTCTGTCACTATTTCACTGTCCACTCCCTGGATGTTCACCTGTGTCAGTGCAATGTCAACTCTCTTCTTTAATTGTGTAAGATATTAAAAAATGTATATCAGTTACATTACAATAGTGACTATATATAATAGTCAATTTAACATGTTCTTCTACCTTCTATTATTATGTTCATTCAACCCGTGAGTAAAAATTAAAGTTGAATTATATCTTCTTCATTCATTTAACATTTATCTGTATTTGCAACTGTACGTTTAGTCTTGATTCAAAGCTGTAATGAATAAAAGATTTTTCGCCATGTATTGTGCAATACATCAGGTAAAAGGCTGCTAGAACTTCAGTACAAAATTAGACACAGGTTTCATATTGGGTTGTCGTCATTCATACCTAGAACTGCAGAATATTTTAACTCAGTAGGATTCTCTGAATATTCTACTTTATGCATTTAACGTTTTATACAATTTTAATAATTTTATTTATGAATGCACTTAGCATATTTCTGGTAAGGAATACGCAGCGTTTCCTTGTGCAAATCAATCTGATTTAAACTAATTAAGCTTCTATTTTCAAATTCCTTATTGAATAAACCTGGTTTCTCCACCTCAGGACATGCTCTTTAATAATTATCTATTCAGGAAGCAGAAACTTGTTTTCTAAACTGAAAAATTGTCTTTGTAACTTGCTAAAAGTGTGATCGCATGAGTGTGTTTAAAATTTAAAAAAATTATTTCATAGTTACTGTAAACAGAAGTTTAATAAAGCACATGTCAGCTTTAAGGCAACACAAGAAATATAGGAAATAACTGGAAGTTTATATGAATGGTAGATTTATAATTTATTGTAATTTACAATGACATTAAAACATTACACAAATGAATATGTTTAGTTTTGCTGTCAGGTCATGAATCTGGAAATAATGTTACTCTAAAAGTTTCAGTTACAAGACATGAAATCAGAGCTTTACTGTTCAGATACATTTAATTAGCTCTGAATCTCATTGGTGTCACATTCAATTAAATTATGTCCCAGTTACCAGTCTGAAATACAAAATTAATAAAAGATGAAAAAAAATATTTGATTAAGATACTGTTATTAGTGAAATCCAGTAAAGATTTATCTGCATTTGTACCAACAACAACAGATGTCAACTGTTTAATTACATAAATATAGGTAGAAAAACAAGTTTATCTCAAAGTAAAACAGGTAGAGGTTATTTTAATTAACCAACTAAATTCAACAAACGTTAAAAACGTGGAGAGTGAAGATGTTGAGTTCATAAATAACTTGTAGACAACATTTCAGAAACATTAAAAACGTTACAACAGCTTTTCAAATAGTTTTCCATCTTATGCAATAGAAACAAAAGTATAAATGTCATACATTATATTGTCTCTGAAAATGACTGGTAGGTTTTTGAATCAATAAAAGACATAAAAAATCCACCCATGGACAGCAGAGAGGAGAGCAATAGAAAACATATTTGGACTTTTGAATAATTAAAACATAGCAGTTCAGGACAGTCTCCAGTATTTTTAGAAAATCGTGATGCAACTCAGGTGTTTTCCATCCAGATGTCCATGGTGTGTATTAGAAAATCTAGCCAGGATGTTAATTATCCCAGAAGTTCTAACCGACCTTTAACCTGTAGGTTTACCAGCAGCCATAGTCCTGCGAGTTTCAGTGCTGCCATCTTGTGGATTAAATTGGGATATATTTTATGCAATATATTGAGTATTTATGTCTGTTTAATGTAGCATTTTTCTGTAAACAAACTTAACAGATAATCTAAAGTACTCTGTCTGACCGATTTCAAAATATACACACTGTCAAAAATGCACATAAAGTGTTTATTCAGTTTACATCGCAACAGCAGCAACGATTAAAATTAGACACTTAAGATTTGATGAGTTTTGAGCACAAACAATTCAAAAATTTAAAATTTTTTCAGCTTTAACCAATAACTTATTTCACTTTTTGAAAAAACATAAAATCTCCTTTTAAATTTTTTTTTCATTGTCAGAAGAAAAAAAAAAGTTTTCAACATGTATAAAAAAATAAAATGATGCCTGGTTTTTACTTGTTTCTAGACATGATTGTTTGTTTTATTAGTAATAATGATAAAAACATGGAAATCCATGGAAGCAGCTTCAATGAAAAAAACAAAAATTTGAATTATAAAGTTCCCACGGCAGCCAACATATTTTGGTTCTTTAATTTACATGTTTCTGTCTGATGCGGAGCAGGTGGAGCAGGAACGCCATCTTAATGGGGACTTGTTATGCTTCCTTGAATGAGTTAGGATCGGCCTGTGGGCTACACAAAATACCTTTATAACGTTTTTTTTTTTTTAACACAAAATAATTCTCAGATACAGATTTAGTCAGTTCTAGTTTGAGCTCCTTTCAGAATAAGCTGTTTTAGCGCCACTTGTCTTTTCCAGTAGCCATTGTACGGCTCATACAGCAGTAAAACCAGCTGACCAAACGTGTTTGATCTCTGCTAGGTAACAGAGCAATGTTTGTTGATTTGTAACATTATATTCCGAAAGGATTTTGAAACAGTTTGCACCAAAACACCAAAAAATATTAACTTATTGTTCTTTTTTTTTTTAAACACCTGGAATGTTTCTAGAAGCAGTAGAGACCCAAATGGACATACAAAAATATACAATAACTTTTTGAAGAACCTTGAATTAATGAATTGCAGCAACGTCTAATTTCTCTTTGGGATCAGTAAAGTATCTTTTGAATTTGAATTGAAAAAGAGAAAAAGCTGGAGTTTAGTAAACGGTCAACAATTAATTTTATGAGAATGAGAACAGAAAAATCGCTGCAATGACTTTAAATTGTAGTAACATTTGTATGTAAATCCTTTGTGCTTAATGTGTTTAATTATGAACAAACTGATGATTTGGCAATAATTTTGCCTTTGGAACAAATGACAGCAAGTGTCTTGATCTGATTTTTGTCTTTTTAATTTGGCCTTTTCTAACTTTAGCTTGTTTAGTTATTAGCTAAATATCCCCAATATATAAAACACTGTAGTAAAACTCACATTTCACATTCTTATTTGCAAAATTTAAAGTGAACACGACAAAGGGTATTTATGGTATCATCATTTATCGTAATACATTTTTCATAAGAATTTTTTATTTATCGTTGCCACTATAAACTCCAATTAGTGCCATTTAAAACAATCATTATTACAAGGATTGATAGTTTTACTATTTTCTCCTCTGCTTGTTCAATAAAAGAATCAATAAATACCAATAAATTTGAAAATTCATAAATTTCAAGAAGTGATATAAAATACACTTCTTTACAAAACTAGTATTTTTCCTAAAGAAGCTCATTACAAACAGGAATGTTTTTAAACAGCAGTCATAAAGTTACCTAAAAAACATGTAAAAAATAGTTACTNT